TGGTAGACTGGAAAAACAAAGAGACAAGATGTTATGAGGAAACATGGCACTGTCATATTTAAGGACCCAGGTGAGGTAGAAGGGAAGGTACCTTTGATTTAGACATGTCATTCTATCAGGATGACATTGAGGTAGGAACATTTCCATGGTAAGGCAGAATTCTAAAAATTAAGTGTGGGGTTAGGAGGAGTGAAGTTATGAGAGGTGCTTACTCCCCCATCTGAAAGCATAAAAGTTAAAAAGGGTAGGTGTGTAAGGCTTGTCTCTGGTATGCATGATGTGGGAGTCTGTAGGCAATACTGTTAAAAAGTCCTGCTGTAAAAATGATCATTAATAGAACGTAAGAAATTAGGAACCAAAGTGGATAACAAAACATGACTTAGCCTGTTAACTGTGGCTGCCAGGCCTTGGTAAGGCAGAGATGAGTAGGAAAAGGATGGTTAGATCTAGGGCTTGAGTGATGCGAAACCAGAATGGCAGTCTAGCAACTTTGATTTAGGCATGGGTCGCTGTAACCTGGTTGTATTAGCAGTTTACCTGGTTGTGGGAAAGGTTTTTATGTATCCTGAAAAAAGTATAAACTAAGTGAGAAGACAAAATGTATCTGTCAGTCTTGACCAGGGTTGTCTGACAAATTGGTGAATAAGAAAGGAAGGGGGTGGTTTTATATCACTGAGGAGAGGTCCACCAATGATAACAGGTGGAAGCTGCTGAGGCCTAACTGTGTCTAAGTGAGCCTGCATAAACACAAGGGAGTGAAAGCATTTTAAGATTTAGACTGGGACCTGCACAAAATAGGCCCTGTTTGTAAATGGCATAGGTTAACCATCAATACCCTGTCATAGAGATTGAGGACTTAATATAGCAGCCTGAAAACTCAGGAAGAACTCTGTATATATGGCCTCTATGTCCACAAATATAGAGAATGTCTTACCTGAGACTTTTAGTGGAACTTGGACTCTGAGACGGACACCCACAAAGGGGGCTGCTGGCCCTGAGCCCCCTCAGTCTTCAGCAGCAAGTTTTTGTCGGAGACGAATCTGGCAGTGTCGACATTTCCTGTGAGGGCTAGAAGTTAGGATGGCTTACCCACTCTCTGGTGGCTAGGACAGTCCAGTAGCCCTGGAGTAAGGTCTCAAAGAACACTAGGATGGGGCATTTTCTTGCCCAAAGTCTTCTGCTGCATTTGAGCGTGGTCCATGGGGAGGCCAGGCAGCTCCACTTGTGTAGGTTTTTACCTGCCTCAGAACTCCAAGTGTCAAAAGTGTTAAAAATATGAAAAACCATATTAAGATCTCTCTAAGGTTTGAAGGTCAAGTTTTGCCTTTTTTGTTTGGGATTTTGACTACAGTAGAATTAAGTAAGTATGCAGGAGTTTAATATTGGCATTTTAGATCAGAGAGCAGTTTATCTGTTTGGCATATTGCTTTTAGGGTGTTGTGTGGAATTATATATTTAATAAAAAAGGCTTTAGTCTACCTTCCCCCTTTTGGAGTATAATCTCATTTTAATGGAAACATTTTGCAGTAAAGGTTTACCAATCTTGTGAATAAATCTATCAAAACTGATCTAATACTGTCAAATTTTGAACACATTTACTTTTTTTAAACCTGTTATTTGCAGTAGTATGAACCAAGACAAAATTTTAACAAAACCCTTGTCTTGGAACAGAGCTAGTGGTTTCCAACAAAAAGGAATTTATAACCTTAGTTGTTAAATAGGAGATTGGTGAAGGCTTTGATTGATAAACAAGGCTGATAAAATTATCAGGTGGCCAATAACCTTGATTAAGTGGTTTGAGAATTGTAAAAAAAAAAAAAGCATCTTTTGAGCAAAACTGAATTGTAAAAACAGAATGCCTGAGTGGAGCCACTGAGCTGCTGTTTTGCGGCACGCCGGCAGAGCACGCCCAGTGTGGGGGTGCAGCGAGCGGGATGTAGCTCGCGGGGGCAGGCTGGGACTGCCCCCGGAAACATGTAAGGTGGAGGTGATGACAGCGCATGGGGGAGTGAGGGTCTGGGATGGCTCATGGGGGAGGGGCTGGGAGGCAGCCCAGCGCAGCACATGAAGCTGGAACTGCCTGTGGGGCGCAAGGATTAGAAAGCCGATTTAGGAACACAGCTGGGTTTTGATTTGCCTCCTGGACCTGTTGTAAAAGTTGTTATCAAATTGCCTGATATAATTCTGTGGGTCAACAGAGAAGCTACCTAATTTATGAGTAATCTGAGAAAGGTCAGAAAGGGAAAAAGGCACATGTATATTAACAAGTCCCTCAGGGCCAGCTTGCTCTCGCAGTGGTAGCAGAGCCTGAGGAGAAGATTGTGGAGTAGAGGGCCATTGGGCAGCTATCTGTCTGGTAGATGTGTGCGAGCAATTATCTGTAGAGCAGCTACAGAGTGGCTGCCCATTATCCTGGGATGAGGAAACACAAGCAGATCGCGTCTCACTGTGTGCCTTGCAGCGAGAGAATTGCTGTTGGCAGCACAATGAAACCTCATGTGGACCACAACAGGCGGCTGTTGCTGTTCACAAGAGGAGCCACAAGGGGGCGCCCATTGACCATGAGTTCCATCCCAAGATGGCAGCGCCCTGTCACGTGGCGGAGGGTTGCAACTGTTCCTGGTACAAGCTGCAACAGTCACGCTGCTTGCTGGAAGGACATAGCGACCAAGACCTAGTATGGTGGGCAGGCAGTGAGAATGCTGTAGGGGATAGAGAATTGTCAGGAGAATAAGTCAGAAACTGCAAGGAAGTGCTAACAGAGGGATTAGAGCCGCTGGGATACTTATGGGTCCTGGGAGACAGAGGGGAAGACAATCGAACAGCGGGAGATAACAGTGAGGAACCATTTTGGGGGTAGGGAAGCGGTGGCCAGGAAAACACTGGAGGAACGTTGTCAAGTGAATCCTGAGGTCAGGGCAGAACAGTTTGTGGTGCGGTAGAGTTAGTTAAAAGTATCTGAGCGGGAACACAAGACTTAATGAGAGATGGGCGTGTTCTCAGAATATAAAAGCCTGAATATAAGGGAGTTCTAATAACTTGTTGCTGGCCTGACAGAAATCATACAAGTTTCTGAGAATGTAGGGGTCAAATGTTCCTTTCTTGGGCCAACAATTGCTGCTAAGTGGGTAGGTTGGCCAGACCTCCCAGCAGAAAAAAGTTAATTGTTTAGTTTTTATGGTACTTTTAATTTTTAAAGTATGTAAATTGGAAATTAGACATTGTAAAGGCATCTTTTGGAAGTTAGAAAATACATTTCCCATGACTGATTTAGGCAATAAATAAGCCGTGGTCCTGAGAACAAGCTATCACTCGTTTGTGGCACCACATGGTGGCTAAGGTTCCAAAAACTCATATATTCCAGTCATCACTGAGAGATTTACGAGTGGAGCCTACGTGGGGTCAGTAACAGTTTTGCCCGTGAAAGCACAAGGTTTTAAGGGAAGTGAGGGTCTCTCAGTGTGGGTGGTCCAAAAATCTCTGCTTTAGGCTATCTGAACCCAAAGAACGTGAGAGATTTTAGAGTGTGGACACAGGTTTGCCCAGAAAAAACCGTGCCCTAGGTTGTCTTAAGGATGTGAAAATGCCACAGAGCCACACAAACAGGGAGAACAGTCAACTGGGGCTGCCCAGTGCCAAGAGTTCCCCGGGGAGTGCTCACCTGAAATCAGTCTGGCCAATGGTGAGTGTAGGTGGCTGGCGAAAGGAAAAAGTGTGAAATTAATCCAGGATGTTATCTGGTTCATGAATTGTCTGAGGGACTCAACTGGGTGTGTCCCAGGAGTCAATCGCCTGTCGATCAAGTCACTCACCATTGGCCAGTTGGCTGAGTCCTGGATTCTTCCTGGGATAACTAGCTTAGGAATATTGATGTAAAGCAACCCTTGGCTCTTATTATTTCTAGTACCTTAGACTTGCCAGGTTGTCAGACCCAGGTCTCCATGGTGGGTGCCCATCTGGGGCCCTACCTTATCACTGGGGTCTCGGCAGCCCACTTATTGTCTTACAAGTGAAGGGAAAGCTCACCATTGCTCTCCCAAACCTGCCAAATTCCTCCAGGTGGAAAGAGGTGTCATCTTCATTTTTTCAGGCCCATAGAGGGCCCCCTGGTTGGAAGAAGAGCTCATCAGTGCTCTAGTGAGCCCGCCAAGGTCATCCGGGTGTTGAAAGGCTCACTGGCCCTCTCACAGGCTTTCTGATGTCCTCTGGGTAGAGGCACTAAATACTTTGCCCAGGACTACCCAGTTAGTGGTAGTGTCAAGGTTTCAACTTTGACTTTCTTGCTGCAGAGCAAGTGTTAGTAGTACTACGCCATATAGCCGTCAATCCAGGATTTCTATAAGAATGTGATTAAGTCAAAATTTAACAAAATTTAAAACAATGCAATATGAAGATATGATTGGATGACAAAATTGCTTTTGCATTCCCATGGTTTGAAGCCATTTAGATCTACCATTAATTATGTTAATAAACATTTTATTATATTACTGAACTTAAAAACTATTTTCACATGAACACATGTATGCACAAATTTATGTAACTGCAGTGGACACTTTCTGAGGTTAACAAAGTTAATATTATCTCCATTTTAGAAATCGGAATGCTGAGTATCAGAAAAGTTAAATACCTTACTCAAGTGTTCAAATCATAAGTGAAAGTGTCTAATATATATCTGAAGCTCTAAACTTCACCTTGTGCTTTATTTTAGTTCGTTATTCTTTTTAATGATTAGTTTCCAATAGAAAAACAAATTTTTATTATATAATTTGCCATTAAATTGTGTGTGTATATGTGTGTGTGTGAACTTTCTGTCACTGTGACAAAATAATGTGATCCAATAACCCTCAGTAGTACCATCAGCTGGAGACTGAGCTGTCAGCATATGAGCTTTTAAGATATATTTAAGGTCTAATTACTAGAAATATGCAAATAATAATATGTCGTTGTACATAACAGTGTGCTTATTTGAACTTGTTTTCTTTCTTTTTTTCCTTTTAAAGATTGTGATTGCTAGCATCATGTGCAGTTACAACAAAAATGACTGGATGGAGCTTTCCAAAATGGCTGAGGTAATGATTTCCTTCATGTGTATTGTTTTATTTCTCTTCTCCTGTTTATATTAGTTTTAAGTAAAGAGCTGCCATAAGAAATAATACAGATGAAATTGTATTGAAAATGTGACTCAAAGCATTTCTATTATAATGTGTTTACTCTATGCTTTCATTAAATGATAGAAATGTAAATTTAAAAGGAATCTATCCTATAAAAGTAGCCCCTTGAATTTCACATACTACCTGAAATCCTCTATTCTCTGAATTCAGATACTATGTATTTACATATTAAGAAAACTGCATATTATGATGGATATCATGATAAAATTTAATTCTACCTTTGAGAGTCTAACTTGATCTTACCTTGCCTTTAGGCAAACTAGTTTGACAGTAAGAGAGGAAATTTTGAATATAAAACTCTTGAATATTTAAAATGTAAAAGGTTCATTTAATACTGTTCTCTTTTGAATACAGACGTGCATAAAATGGTCAGACAGAGCGCTTCTGAATGGAACAGTAGTCAGCATGTTTTCCACAATACAAATTAATCTTGCACAAATACAGACAACTAACCATGTGCCTCAAACTTGTATTTCAAGTAGAAAAATGCATAATGAAAATTTACACTTATGTTCATCATGCTGTCTTGGAACCCAGTCTACATGCTCGTAGTTGGGGTTTCTTGAAAAGCTCCTGGCAACACAGAAGGCTGAACCTAACGAGACTTTCAAAGTAATTGACTCCACAGTCTAAAATATTGTCAAGCTCTCCATAGTGTTAAAAATGTTAATTGTACATTTTATTTGGATGTTTTAAAACTGTAAGAGGAAAAATTACTTCTGGGACTTTGAGGGGTGAAATTAAACATGATCAGTAATTGGCTTCATGATCTTCTGTGCCGGGTCCATTTTATACATGTATTTACCTAATTGACCATGAAATCTTCCACAGAGCCTAGGCTTGGTATGAGCTTTGCCAATTTTAAGCTGACTGTGATGAATGGCTTTATCACGCTGCATGCTTCTCTGCCTTTCTGAAAGTATAAAGTACTTTTAAAAATTATTTTCTTCAGTAATGGACATTAATTTTTAAATATGTTAATTTATTTACAAAATGTCAAGAGCCTTTAATGATAGTATACTAGATAACATAAAGATACTTTCCACATTCCATTTCTTTCTTTAATTGCAGTTTTATTTATATCAACTTCTAAATTCACTAAACCATAAATAAATAAAGGGAGAACAAAAAATAAAGAAGAAAAAAGTTTATGCTTCTATTTAATCAAAACAGCTTGTGAAATTTCTGCACACAATTGCAACCTACATATCTAGAAGATCAATCTGTACACAATCCATACATAGTGTCAATTTTTGACATTTCCTTATATTCTTAAATCTGAACTAGCCTAGGGATATCCAATGAAGCACACCTCCTCAGCCCTTCACATCCCTTCAGAGAGCATCGTTGGCAGTATGATTCCATCACAGCTCAAAAATGTATTCCAGCCAAAGTTACTTAACTGTACTGCCGTGTGTGTGTGTGTGTGTGTGTGTGTGTGTGTGTGTGTGTGTATTTCTTTGGGAATAAAAAGAACACAGTACCATGCCGGCAGTTTTAAATTTAGCAAGTGGCTTGATGTGATGTGTATACTTTAAGTTCATGGAGTTCTTCTCCTTAAGGTAGGTTAATTATTAAATTATACAATAAGAAGTTAAGAAAACTTGTCATGAGATTTGTATTACTAAATCTGATGTCAAAAATGACATATGTATGGAAGCAGAATAGATAGATACAGCTGTACAAGGATCCTGAGCAAGTAAAGACTGATAAATTCTGTTAGAATTGAAAATTGGCACAAGAGAGGTTATTACTGTTTACTTCACCACAGTCTGCCATGCTATTTTAATATTTTCAGTAGACACTTAAGAGTGCATGTGTGATTAAAACATAAATATTGGTATATTTTAAAAGTATATTGTTGAGGAAAATGGCGGCGAGCTAGGGAATCGAGCGAAGAATCTCTCCAGAGAATTCAAACTCAAAGATAAAAAAAGACAGCATGGAGAGGACCAGACAAATCGATAGCGATTCTTATTAACCAAGACCGTACAACTGGAGGATTTAAAGTCGTGCTGAGACCGGAGGCTACAAATCCCGCGCCCTTAAATCAACAAACAGACTCGTGGACCCAGCACGAAAAGCTGAGTTGCTTTTGGAGACCGCGGGAAACTGAGACCCAGATCGAGACTCCAAGTAGCAGCCAGTTCTGCACCGCTGCACCAGAGCGGATGTACAAAACTCTGGCGATTCAAATCTAAACGGTGCACAGAAATCTGACCGGTCAGCGCTGAGCCGCGAGTGGGGGAAAAGTGGACAGCTTGGTGTGCGGCGGTCCCGGAACGAGGACTTGCACCGGACCCTGGTGAGTACAGAAAACCCCGCCGCTGCTGGGTTTGACCAGAGAACAGCTGGCCCGCCACCACGGGGAAATCAATAACACAGAATCTGGTGCAGACATATTAGCCTGGCGGCAGAAATCGCAGCTTAGTGACATCACCAGGTCGCCCTGTAGGGAGGGCTGGTGGAAGACATCTTAAGTCCTGGCAGAGCCTGATTACTTGTTGGCTTCAGCTCCACACAGAGAACTTAGTGGGAGCCATCTTTGTTTTGGGCAGATCTGCTTTTCTGGTGCACCTATCACAGAGAGGTTTGGAAGAGAACGGCTGGGACCTGGGCAGAATCCTGTGCCATTACCCAGCTGCTTCTGATTCAAAGAGAACTGGCAGGAGCTACTGGGGCTAAACCAAGCCTCTGCTTGGGGCCAAATAAGCAGATACAAAATAGTCACAACTCAGTGACAACCAGAAAGTACAGCCTAATTTATGAACTAACTGACACAGAGGCTAGAGTCTAGACTGTACCGCCCCTACATCCCAGCCTTCCCCAGATAACAGCAAATTGGGGAGGACAGCAAAAACTCAAGCCAGCACGCTTCTGAAAGGCCCTAAGCAATTCGGAGAGGGCCAGAGAACTCCAGGACAGTCTGAAAGAAACCAGAAACATGACAAGAGATAAAAATAAAAAAAAAAACCTCCAGCTGTTCAACAGGAGAAATTAAACCCAAGAGAACTAAACACTGAAGAGAACAAGCACAGTAACCATCCTCTACTCGACACAGCATCAGCCGAAATTAAAAAGTACTTACATGATCTCATAGAGGAATTTAAAGATGTACTCCTGATCCAAGTGAGGCAAGATATAAAGAGATTAATTAAAGAAATGACAAGCCCCGCCCAAGAGAACACAGATGGAAGAACTGAGGAAATCAGAAAAGAAAGAGAAGCATCTGAAGAAGAATTTAAGCATAACTTAGAATACATGAAACAGATCCAAAGAGAATATCAGGAAACTCAGAACTCCATTGAATATTGGCAAAATGCCTTGACAGAAACTAAAGACAACCTTCTGAAACTTGAAGAGAGATTTAGGGCTTATGAACGTGAAAGAAAAAGCCTCTTAAAAATAACAAGGAACCAGAAAGAAGCAATTCTAAAACTGGAAGATGATAAAAAGATACATAACCTAAGGATAAAGAATGTGAGTGAGGAAGCAGGAACATCCAAAAATGAAATACAAAAAATATTCACAGAGATATTAAAGCAAAATTTCCCACGTATAGCAAAAAGAAATGATATCCAGATAAAAGAAGCATACAGAACACCAGCTACCTACAACCAAAACAGATCTACGCCTAGGCATATAATAATCGAGATCCCAGAAATCCACCAAAAAAACAGAATATTAAAAGCAGCCAGAGAAAGGATGCAGGTTACCTATAACGGGAAATCTATCAAAATAACAGCAGACTTATCATCACAAACTCTTAAGTCAAGAAGGGAGTGGGGAGAAATATTCCAAGTCCTGAAGGAAAAAAATATGCAACCTAAGTTCATATATCCGTCAAAACTCTCTCTAAAAATTAATGAAGAAATAAGATACTTTCAAGACAAGGAGGAACTGTGGGAGTTCGTGGCCACCAATCCAACCCTACAGAGAGCGCTGAAGGACATTACAGAGAAAGAGAGGAAGAGATATCAGGATTACAGCTACAGTGGCAGAGAAGCCTCAGTGAACGGGGCAGACCATGGAATGAGGGAATAAGGTGGACAAATTATAGCAGAAAAGTGGAGTAGCAGACATGAGGCAGAGACGGTAAGCTAGTCTTTAGTAGAGACAGCTCTGAAACTATATTTAAAAAAAAAAAAAAAAAGCAGAGGTCATTGCTAATGGTGTATAACGATTTAAAAGACACAGTAGTCCTAGTGACATATTTAGATTGAATTAAATTTGTTCTGGTCTGTCCACTCACATCAGATTTGAGGACACAGACCTCTAGAACCAAAAATAGCAGGTTATACCACGGCAACTATCCTTACTTTCCTATTGACTTAGGGTGAAATTCTGTATTACTTACATTGTCTTACTATGACTGATCTTAATTGTATCTGAATCATAAGACTATTGGTTGGCCTTGACTGATCCTATTAGAAATCGGTATGCGTGTTAGAATCAACCCTAAAAGTAGAGGAAACTACTCTAAGCATGACAAGATGTAAAGGATATCCATACTGGTATGAATCAGTAACAGCTCTCAAATACTACAATGCAGTCAAAGATAAGTTTTTATAAAAATAGGTGATAGTATGTTTAACTATAATAAGCCAGTGTTGTCGACAAATCTATTGAAAATAACAAGAGAAAACATAGTAGCTACGAAAGATCATTTATATTACAGTTTTATAAGTCCTATCCATTGCATGATTATCTAGGAAATTGTTTCGTTGTCTTGTTATGACTTGGTTTTCCCTATAATACAGAGAGGATAGGAACAAATACTCTGAGGAAGAAACCTGAGAAACCCGAGGCTTATTTTGTAGCATTATAATATAAATTCTAGCAATCTATTGCTTGCTGATTAAAATGACTCTGGACTGGTTTCTTCAGCTCAACTTCAGCATATGCAGAGATGGGGACGGCTATCACAAAGAGAATGAGAGATGCGATGGTAGTTGGTATTGTCTTCCCTAATTTGGAACTTGAGGACCTAAAAAGACTCCATCATCCTGTAATGATTTGATTAGTTCTATAATATGCAATAAGTATAGAAAGTGGGTGAAGTTAGGGACAGCTATTTGTAAGAAGCTAGATAGATAAGGTAGATCTCCAGTGGACTTGCTTTGAAATCTGTATTTCTTTAAATTGTTTTTTTATTTTTTTTAAAATGTTCTGTTCTGTTTTGATATGGTTAACCTTATCCTCTTAGAGATGTAAAACAAATAGGTGGGACTGATAATCATATTACAGAGCTTTTGTTCGGCCATAGAGCAGAATGGTTTGTAGGGTCATTTTTTTTTGAATGTCATTCTATATACTTTAATTCTATAACCTGAACAGCCATTTCGAAGATGACAATTTGTAACTTATCAACTGGCAATTTCTTACCTTTTGTTTGTCTGTAATTTAGAATTATTTCTACCCTTTTTTTTAAATTTCCATGTATTTTTTTTCGTTTCCTTTTCTTTAAATAAAAAAAAAAAAAAGTATATTGTTGAGCTAAATTCCGTTTGTAAAAGATAATGTATGGCCAGTCCATCTTCTCTGTATTAGCCATATTCTTGAGAAAAGTTTGTTTTATGCTGGATATGAAACTACACCGAATAAATTTTCCTATGCCCTCTAGCCTTAGAATATGCCTGATCTTAATGTTTTACACTTCCCTCAACCTGATTTGAACTATCATATTTCTTGAGCACCACGAAAAAGAAGCAGTTCCTAGAAAACTTTCACACTTTAGTGAACCTTTTCATGAAATAAGAAGTATAGTTGGACTCTGCTCAATTTTGTTGGTACAGACATAGCTCTTACATTTTCCTGCTTTTTGTTAGCCTATTACAGTTTCATACACAAAGAAGTTATGAGGCACATCTTGTTTGCCATCTAAAAAAAAAAGTGAGTAAGAAACAGCCTCTGAAATGTGGACATGTTACAGTTTAAATTTAGTCAGATGTGTACCAAATTGAGCTGTTACTGAAGGCTTAAAATGATAATCTTAAAGAATTTTGAATAGATTTTACTAGACCTGGAATCTACTTTTTCTTAATGTGTATTAGCTTATAAAACAGAATCTGAGTCATAGCATAAGGGAAGGGTTCATTGAAGCATATCATGCCAGAGCAGTAAATATGACCCAAAGAAAAAAGAAAAATGAGAGAGAAGAAGGAAAAATAAGTGCTGAATGGTACATTTCAGAGGCTGTAGCAGCTTCACAAGTAACTAAAGCAGATTGCTCAGTCATGTGCCATACTGTCCCATCTTGCCACTTAGGAGTTAGAGGAGAGGAAGGGTAAAAAATGCATCTACTGGCTGATTCCTCTCATAGGTCACATCGCATACTATGTAACCATACCTTCCTCTGTGTGCTGTGTCCACTGAAGGCAGCTTCTAAGGAAGTTAGACTCTGTACCATGTGGCCTGATGCTTCATCTACATCCTGAATTGGAGGAAAAGACATTAGTTTCTTGGTTAGGCATGAGCACTGGCCCTTCTGGTGCTCCCAATCAGATATAAGCATTGGATATCTTTTTAATGAAACCCAGCTTTGATTTTAAGGGAACCCATGAGAGCTGACAGATGTGAGTGAAAACAGCAACAAGGACTGGACCCTCTGAGAGGGTGCCATTGGGTGGCAAGTTAAGGCCATCACATTTGAGGAAGCATATAAATCAGATGCAGTCCAAGATTGGTTACTCCTCCCTAAATGAAGTTTATTTACAGTGACTTCACTACTCTTCTCCATTTACCCAAAATATTTTTATCTTTCCTAAATTCAAAATATTTGACCTATAAATCCTCCAATACCTGGCTATGGTGTAGCTCCTGATGTCACCTAGAATACAGGAGAAGTAAGAAAAGAAGAGGAGAAAGAAGACTTTTGTATATTCTGTACAAAATTGATGGGTTTGCTACCCTAGTTTATCTGATATATTTTATAAAATGATTCAGGAAAATTTAGAAGTCACACAACTTCCACTATTTCAAGAATTCCTCAATATTTTTTTTCCTTTCTTTTTTTCTCCTTCTCTGAAGTACAGGTGATATAAGATATCATGATTTGAAAATCTTTTCAGATCAAGGCACATTTTGGACAAGTTAAAAGATCAAGATAGATAGATAGATAGATAGATAGATAGATAGATAGATAGAAAGATAGATGGAACTTGATTACACTTAATACTAATTTCATTACATACATTGCTCCAGATCATATACATTTGTCGAATTTGTAGATATTGCAATAAATAACATTGTTTTCCAGTTTTCCGGAGGTAAAGAAACTGAGGCAAAATATAGTTACTTTATGTTTTCTAGCTTATACAACCTGTATGTGGTGAAGGTGGAATTCAAATCCATAAAATATGCAAAAACATGTTCACATTTTATAGATGAATGATAAATAAATGAACATTTCCTCTACACTGCATTCATGAGGTTACTTTATTTTACAATTATTAGATAAGGTAGAATAAATTTTGAGCTAAGTGGTTAAACTAAAAAGCTTGCGACTAACATGAAGCAGACTGTCCAGTTTCAGTTAATTTAACATTTCATGCTAATTTGGCAATTTAGACTTTTGCAATGGTTATAGTTGCCTGGAAATGGAATTAATTGGCTTTTAAAGTAGTGTATACCCTTCAGGAATATAGAGGCCACATGAATGTTCCCACTCGGTGTCTCCATGAGCTCTACTGTATCAGTATTTCAAGCTTAGGTGCTAATTTCAAAACCTTTTGCAGAGGTAGCTGGTCAATATGTGTTGGTGAGAAATTTTTTAATAATAACTCCCTAATAATGCTTTGTGTTGGATAGCTTGTTTTAAAATATTTTAATTTTTACTTTAATTTAGAAGCATAAATATGTCCAACTGCTATGTTTTTCTTAAACACTGTAACCATCCAAAACATGGAATAAGTGATATCTAATAAGTTGCAGTAGTGTGTATGAATGGAAGCTTTAGATTCAAGATACTTAGGTTCATCACTCAGTTACTAATAATAGGTTGTAGAGTGTTGATAAATGACTTGTACTTCTAATGCCTTGGTTCTGTCAGTTGTAAAATAGGAAAACTGATATATATATATACCTGCTAGAGGTATTTTGAGACTGAAGTAAGCTAAAACATACAGAATATCTAATAAAGTATCTTACCATATGATTTAAATAATCATTTAACTTTAGCTATTATTATCAACTATGCTAACTATGTATAAATTGTATAAAATTTATAAATTATAAATTTTGAGGGAAATATGCGTAATGGAGACACCAACTGAGTGGGAACATTCATGTGGCCTCTATATTCCTGAAGGGTATTCACCACTTTAAAAACCAATTAATTCCATTTCCATTTGTTGCTAATTGTTTCAGTTTCAGCCACATAAGAAATTTAGAGGAGCTCTGAAATACTTGAAATAACTGAAAAATAATAAGAAAATTGAAGTATTGCATATAATTCCAATCTCAACTAAGGTGACAATTCCCCCATGACGTGATTTTGAGGCCAGTCATATTATTTGCAGTTCACACTTTATCAGAGGACAAGGATAGTTAACCCGCTTGTCCAAAGCACCCCCAGTTCCTTAGCAGCAGACCTAGGATTGGAATTCAGATCATCAGGTTTTTTCACCCTCACTACCAATTCAGTATAAAGAAAGTTGCATGATTTAAAATAATTTTCAAATAACATGAAGCATTCTTAAATTGGATTAGAATATCAAAAAGTCATTATGCAGCCATGATAGAAAACAAGCTGGAATGATCAATCAGATTTTCACAAACGTACAGAAGAAAAAGCAGACTCACTAATGAGTAAAGAAAATCAAGAAAGTGGACTCAGACATAGCTAACTGGTATTAAGATACTTAAGGTAGGAGGCTGGGGATTTAGCTCAGCAGCATAAGTGCCTGCCTTGCAAGCAGGCAGTCATAAGTTCAATCCCTGGTACCGATAAAAAGGAAAAAGACCAAAAACAAAAAAATTCAGTAAATATTTTGTTATTTTACATACTATAATTTGATAAAGTTAAAATGTATACCACTACTAGCTGTAAAATGGAAAGCATAAGCATATCAATTTACAAATAAAGCTCTGTACTTTCTTTATTTTCCTTCTCTGTCTAAAGGCTTCTGGAGCAGATGCCCTGGAATTAAATTTATCATGTCCACATGGCATGGGAGAGAGAGGAATGGGCCTGGCTTGTGGGCAGGTAAGGACCTCAGCTGCCAGCCACTGTGTGTGTCTGGGTGATATCACTGGTCCCGGCATGGAGCACTGCTGTAATGTAGGCAAGGAGATGCCTGGGTCAGATGACTGGCCTGAGACTTTCAGGTCTGCATTGTTTAAATATTTAGTGCTTAAAAAGTGGAAAATGAGGGATGCTGAAATTGCAACAACTGTTTATTTTTATTGATGGAAATATCACATTATGTGCTTGACAGGAAGTAATATCATAACAAATAGTTTTTAAAAGCGCTGAAGCAGAATTAGCTGATTTCAAATGCAATGTTCTTTATTCATTCCTGATGCTGATCCAGTTTCCCTAGGGCAATATACTGTACAAAATGCATTGTTCATAGTGATTTTGTAGTAAATGGGGCACAGCACAAATTGCATTTTACATTTTTTAGCATATGATCATTATTCCCTAACTGTGTTTGGGGAGCTACAAAAAGACTTTGATGCTATTTTTATTTTGGGGTACAATAAATGAAATCTTCATGCTAAAATACTTTCAAACATTTAATGAACATAATGTGAATTAATGTGTTAATATACAGAAAATGCTGCATCTTTATGTAACCAATACAATTTTGTATGTTAAAGAATAGTGTAACATCTTAATACTAAAGTGGTGAGTGTTTTGAATCTAATTTCATCTTTAAGCCCAGAGGGACATGATATGAATTAAATAATGTGACTGTTTTAATTACTGATTGATCTTCAGTTCTTGGAATGTTTACATTTATGTTCCTGTTTGACCCAGAGATTTGTACATTGAAGGTGCTCAACTTCTTTTACTTGTTTATCTAAAGTGACTGAACTTGTTTGAATTAAACTTAATATTGCAGGCCGAAAATTTCTGCTTACTCAAATGAACATGGTTTCCTACTTTCATTCAAAGAGGTTTCAACAAACTTTGTAAATATTTAATTAGCAGTTAGAATAGATGTGACCTACAAAGAAATCATTCTTACGAGGCAGCAGGAGATGTCCATTCTTATTGGATAACAGGCACAATATTTTTCAAGTATGTTTTCTGTCCAATTCATAAGAGTTCACAGAGCTCAGTAAGTACAGTAGCAGAACCATAAGTCAGAATGCACAAGTAGGGCAAAGTAGAATTCTATTTGAGTCACATCGTGACAGGAGTCAGTGAATTAAGGTGTGTAGCAAGATTAATGAAGCAGCCTGGTAAGAAAGACTCACTCCTAGGAGGATGCTGATGGCTCACTGCCTACCTCCAGAAAATGTTGTCCCTTTCACAGTGCAAAAATTAAAATCTAGATAATTTTCATTCAGATGCATAAACACTGCTGTGGAGAATTTGAATCTGTTGACTGATTTGTTACAGAAGGATGCATCCTAATGTTTATTATTTTCTACAAATATAATCATTACATTAAAAATATTGCCTAAATCTCAGATGAGTTTGTTTTTAGGCTTTGCTCTATGACTATATCTGAACTTAACCAGTTGTAAAGTGTCCTACGTATCCTCTCTCCAGAGTTAGCTATGTAAAGTTTATCAGCCCTTGCATGAATAAGAATGCCAAATGCCAAACTTCTACAGTCAGAGATAGTTTTAAGATTTCTTAAACTCTTGGAAAATATTTGCTTTCCAAGTCATGATGTCTTGGCTGCAGCAAACTTGGGAACAATTCCTTTTCACTTATTTGTTATAATCCCTTGAAACACAAAAACAATTCATCTTTTAGCCAAGTTTAGAAATTGTTGAACATGTTCTCTTAAAATTATATAATTGAAAAATAAAGTTAATTTTGATCATTTTTGTTCCTACATGTTTTAAATGATTACTCTGCCTCAAGATATATAAATGTTCAGTATAAAAGAAAGAGTATTAGTGCTTTTTAAAAAAAAGATTATTATAACTTTTTGAAGTGGGCACAACCACATCTAGTGTTTATTTGCCTTCATCACTACCTGTTTTCACACTTCTCTACATCCTTTCCCTGTATGTCTTCCATTCTTCCTGAGTTCCAAAGTTGTAAACACTTGAAATTTGGTGCAATGAGGAAATTGTGCTCGGTTCTGGGGGAGCGGAAGAGCCATTCCAAATAGACGTGTCTTCTTTTGTGAAATATTTTTGGGTGCCAAGCATAGAGCTTGCTGCAATCTCAGAGCCTGATAAATGCTTAGTGCATTAATAAGATATGAACATTAATTCCATGGCTAGAAACGTATTCCTGTACAGTACATTTTCTTCCCTAAACACTTGTTCTTTCCCTCTTTCATCTGTTTTTCCTACAAATACTTAGTAAATGAAGAATACTACCTTTGTACCTAAGAGATTCTGCCTATATATAATCAACATAAATTATGTCTGTATATAGTATATAACTGAAATTATAAAATTTATGAACAAGAAAACCTATCTCAGTGGCATATAAAGGTCATGCTTCTTTATGAAAATTGTTGAGATAAAGGAAATATAGAACTGACCTTAATAATTTGAAGTGCTTTTTCCCACAAAGTGAGACTTCATAAAAAATCATAAAAAGTGTTTTTAAAAGTGTTTTAAGGTAATTATATTTTGTATTTCTTCCACTGATTCAAACCACTTACTCTTCCTGAAGCATACATTTGCTTATCTACACCATGAGATTTTTACAAAATGATCTTTAAATTCCCTTCCAACTTTTAATACTGTGTGAATGTTTACATACCAGGTAGCAGACCATAATACCCTAAAGCAACAAACAAACTCATATTATGTTGCTCTTTTCAACAGCACTTTAACATTTGTCTACCTTACGTAAAGTCAGTGTTTTACAGTAATATCCGTTATCTGTGGGGGACGTATTCTAAGAGCCCTTGGGTACCTGAAACAAGTATGTTTTTTAATACATATATACCTTTGATAAAAAGTTTGATGTATGCATTAGGTACCATAACAGACCTACAACAACTAATAATACAGTGGAAACAACTACAATACTCATTGTTTAAAGCTTATGGATTATGATATAGTTTTAGAGCCTTTTATTTAGTATATTTGAATCATGGTTGGCTGAAAACTGAAACTACACAAAAGCCAAATCATGGGCTGAGAATGGTGCACAGTGTCAGAGCTTTTGCCCTGCATGCACGAACCCCTAAAACTGCAAAAAAAAAAAAAAAAAAAAAAAAAGGTGAAGCCACACAACAAATGAGCTAGTATCCTTATATGATTTCTAATTATTTCTGTACCAACTGATTTTGCTCACACCAGTTGGTTGGATATCTTATTCCTTTTATAAGTGAATATCCAAGTAGTACTTTTATTAAAAGGACTGTAATTAGTTAAATAGTGATCTGGTACTCAATATGACTAAATTAAAACCCTTGGTTCTTTCTACATGAGCTTACTCTTTCATTTTATTTCATGGTATCACCAATAATCCTGAAACTCAAGGAAGGCAAAAATGATTTTGTTGTATTCACTTAAGAGAGTACAAATGGAAAAAGAAAAAAGTACTACTCGTCTACCTTCTCAAAATCATCTCAAGTAGGTTATTTTAATCCCAAATCCTATAGATCGCAAAACACAATCCCTGTGTTTCCCAGGTCAGAAACTTGGCCAGTCGCCACCACAACCTACAAACTAGTTAGCTGATTATAGAGAAGGCACTTTGAATAGTTCTCAATAATAGGTATTATAATAGCAGCATTAATACGATTATATTAACTGAAAATTACATGTAGGCCTATTTGGACTTTCATATCTTTTGTAGTTCTAAATCCTTATTTTCTGAGTATATAAAAACATAGGAAAACCTGAACCTGTTGTTTAAATTCTGTCTTCTGGAAATATAAAAATGTTATGACTTATGTGTACATGTCTCACCAAAGCCTCATGTGGTTATAGGTGGAGTCTTTTTCAGAGAACTTGGATCTAGAGTGTCAGATACTGGAATTAAGTGTTTGTGAGTGCTAAACCAGTCCACTGATTGGTTTGGCACCAGCCCTAAGGCCAGTACCCTAGATCGAAGATAAAATGGGGCAGAAAGAAGTTACTATGGTCACTTGGACTTGCTGCTTGCTTCTTGCTACTTACTCTGCTTTGTCATAGACTCTTTCTCTTTGTGATGCCCCTCTTCTGTGTCACCTTGGAGCTAGCCAACTGTGGACTAGAACCTCTACAAACTGTTAGCCAAATATACCTTTCCTTCTTTAACTTGGTGTGTCAGGTATTTTATCACAGCAGCAAGAAAGGTAAATAAGACAGGGAGCTTCTCTCATGTCCTAGCAATCAGATTTAGTTTTCTACATGAAATTTATGTGAATTCATTTCCTATAACAGCATATTATTTTATAAATGCATTAGAATGCAAATAAAATCTATTTTTAAAAACCACCCCAAATAACACTTCTTAGATGTCTTCTCCTCTTCCTAAATTTAATTCTTCTCACTGTTTCGAGTGAATAATTTCTTTCATACTTTTAAAACTCTACTAAAATATTTTACTTTTTAAAATAATGTTTCCTAAATTTTTCTTTATGCAAGGTGTTTACTTGCTTTCCTTGAGACGATGGTACAGCCCAGAAAAACACAGACTTGTAGAACTGATAGGAGCCTTAAAGATATTCGTGTTCAAACATCTATGTACAGGATAAGAATTGGGGACTGGGAAGTGCCTGATCTGCCTTCGCCTAAAGTAACCAACTTGCAAGGCCTATAGTTTCAGTGCCTTTACCACTGACTTTTGCCTGGAATTCCTCCAGTATTTCCCACTGTGATTGGGTGGATATAAATCTTTACTCAAATAGAAAATTCAGCACGATGTCTTGTGTATCCCTGATCCTAGACCTTACCTTAGTTGCGATTTGTTCTGTCACTGGGAGACAGTACTCACTACTCACAATATAAAGGAAGGAATTTAATTTGAAGTTTGGGAGATAATCAGTCCGTGGCTGAGTAAAGTTGCTTAGATGCGAAAGCTGGAAAGCAGACCAAGAAACCAATCACAGAAGAGACTTGAGGAACCAG